TCCTCCTGAGAAAAAAAAAAAGTTTCAGAAGACACCTCTAAACGTGTCAGACTGTGCCTAGACACAAGTCTGCAGTCAAAGAACTGAAGGAATTTTAGGAGAATCATCTTAGACAATGTTGATTCTGAAATAAAAACAAAACTGAGAATTTTGGAAGAGCAACCTCTGAGCAATAAAAGGTGCTATGCTAGTAAAAAATAAATTATTTGATAATTTAGGCAGTTCAGAGGACGAATCCAATTTCTGAGAAAGGACTGAAATGCGACCGATCCCAAACCTGTGCAACTGTGGGAGGAATGTACTGTATCCACAGCACTAAACCCACATTCAGGCCAAAAATACTCTCCGCAGCGGGGCGTGTGTGCGATCCAACTCTCCCAAAACCATAAATACCTTGGCGTGATTCATAGTTTTGATTGTAAACAGGAACGTGTGCCAGAGAAACAAGCTGTCTTTATAAGCCTCTCATGAACTCATCATGTATTAATGTTTACATTTTTGAATGCTTTAAATTGCATGATCCTTTTTGACTTTGTAACTGTTCAATTGTCTTTGTGGGATTATTAAATGAACACAACCAAATTGTTCCCTTTTTTTCTCCCCCCGCAGCCATTTTAGAGCCTGATGACATTTGGTGCATATGAGAGCATTATGCGGGATACGCACTTGACAACATTACTGACACGCTGAAAATGGCAGCCACTCAGTGACCAGCAGAAGGGATCACATTTTTGAAAGGGGAAAAAAAGAGATGAAAAGAGCGCGCAGAGAGAAAGAGGGAGAGAGGCCAAAGACAGTAGATGGTATGATGGGAAATGAAGGAGGGACAGACGGAGAGGCACAGAGAGGGTAGAGATGGAGAACAAGAGCGAAAGAATGAGGCAGACGAGTGAGTGAGCGGGGGGCGCAGCAGACGCAGCGAGTGTGAGAAAGGTATGGCTGAGGGCAGAGAAGTTTTTGTCTTGATAGAAATGTGAAGAGAGCAAGAGAATGGGTTTAAATGGGGAGGGGGGGTGGAAAAGAAGAAAGTGAGAGAGAGAGAGAGGGGGGGGGGGGGGGGGGACGAGGCAGAGAGACTCGGGCGAACAAAGAGAACGTGGAGAGAATGAGTTGGGTGAAACATCAAAGGGATTTTTCGGCCGTGTTACCGGGACAACAGACATTTGCATGCGATTAGCTTTTTACATCATATTAAGGAGGGATGGGGCGAGTGAGGGGAAGCACACATCATAAAGAGAGAGAGAGAGAGCAATGCCGGTCACTCACACTGACTTATGTGCTGACAAGCAGCCATTTGTCTTGAAGATCACGCATGTGGCGAGGATGATTTTACAACACGTTATACGAAGTAGATGTGCTATCTGAAAACATGCCTTCATTGCAATTAACAGCAATAATAGGCTCATTTGTCAAGGAGCAGTGGGAAATAATCATGACCCTAAAAGAACTGTTGTGATCACAGACGCAGGTTCGAATCTGGCTCGCGTCATGCCCCTTTCCTCACTGCCAGATAATTTGCATTTTTATACCTTTAAAGCAAATAACAATTTTACATTTAGGAGCAGCCTACATATAAGAATTTGGGGCTGGTAAGAGTTTTTTATGTGTTCAAAGGAAAGCTTGTTTCTGCCATATAATACAAAATAAAATAAATAAATAAAAAGGGTAATAGCAACTTTTTATCTCACAATTCTGAAAGAAAAAAAAGAAATCTGAAAAACAAGATATATACTCAGAATTGCAAGATATTAATTTCCAATTCTAAGATGGAAGTCTGGTTAATTTGTGAGAATTGTGAGATATGAACTTGCAGTTGTGAGAAGGAAAAAAAGTCAGAATTGAGAGATAAAAAGTCAGTTACCTTCTTTTTTATTTAATGGAAGAAAAAAAACTGATTGTGAGATGTAAACTCAGAATTCCAAGACAAAAAGTCAGAATTGCTCAATGTAAAAGTTTATAACTAAAAAGTCAGAATTGTGAAAAGTAAAAGTGTTTGGCTAAAAAAGTCAGAATTGTTAGATAAAAGGCAATTTTTTTTTAATTATTATTATGTGGTGGCAAAAAGCTTATGCTCAGCAAGGCTGCATTTATTTAATAATAAAATACAATAATATTGTGAAATATTAGTACAACTTAAAATAACTGTTTTCCATTATATATATATGAGATACACTATGAGAGTTTAAAATTAAGTGTTACATTTTGAAATACTAATTCATAATTGAGAAAAGGTTAAAATCATGGCACAGTTGAAATTATGAAATAAAGTTATAATTATGACACTCAAAATTATGAGATAAAAGTTATAATTGACATATGACATAATATAATGTAATACAGTCAAAATTATGAGATAAAAGTTATAATTGACATATGACATAATATGTAATAAAATATATTCTGACAAGAATTATGAAATAAAAAGTCAAAGTTATGACACTGTCATAATAATGAGATAAAAATCTAAATTAGGAAAACTTCTAAATGAGATAATATCCATAATTATGACATAAAAGGTTGGAATTATGAAATAAAACGTCAAAGTTATGAGACTGTCATAATACTGAGATAATGAGAATAATGACGAAGTGACAATTATGACAGTCAAAATTATAAGATCAAAATCTGAATTGTTTTGTCATCTCATTATTTTGACATTTTATCTTCAAATAAAATTTGTATCATAATTATGAACTTTTTATGTCATATTTATGATTTTATATGAGCATTTATTTCCTTATGTGGTGGAAATGGGCTTCCATTTTTTGCCATATGATGCCAGGGTAACATTAAATGCAGTGTTATAAATGTACATTACATTTATGGCATTATGTGGAAACGCATAATCACAATCTGTGAAAAGGGTCGTTGTCATTTCTTTTGAATGTTTTACTTTATATGCTACACTAGTCTTAATCTTTACTTTTTTCAGATACTGATATGCGAGCGATCAACTTCAAGTAATTCCAATGTTATGAAATTGATTACATTTTTATCGAATAACACATATATTTTTTGAATACACATATTATCAGCAGAACAATTTAAGTTAAAATTTTAAACTGAATTGAAAAAATGCATTTTTCTAATTTGTTCCCTTTGTGCATTAATGCCAGCTGACATGAACTCCTAAAGTTTGTGCAAACCCTGATGATCATGTTCTTCAGCGTGAGTCGACGTTCCCAAGAGCATCTTGAGCTTCACATGCCAGCAGAACCTTAAATACTTTTATTCACTTTCACAATGTTGCCCTTTTTTATTTCCCCCCCACGTTCAGACTTTTGGATATATAGGCCTACAGTGATGAAATAAATCAGTTTTTTTTTTTTTACTCCACAGTCCAGCAGATCGACCCAAAGACACTTGCAGATTTTGGGCTTCTATAATGGTTACATATACATTCATGAGAGCAGCAGACATGCACCTGCCAACCTCCCCCCGTCTGTCTCTCTGTTCCTCTCTGGCCTGTAATGCCTCACTGCCCTCAGTACTGCTGCTGCATTGTGCTGCCAGGCGTCGTCATGGCCGTCGCCACGGTGCTATTGTCATGGCGATATTACAGTATCAATACCCTGACACTGCGACAAAGAGACAGCAGCCAATGCCACATCACTCCACCCCTTTAACCCCTCTACTCACATTCTCTCTCTCTCCCTCTCTCTCTATCCTCACCCAATCGATCCCTCTATCTCTGACTAAATATGTACGTATTGATTCTCCATCGGTCCCCTGCTCTCTTCTTCCATCCCTCTTTCTTCCTTTCTTCTCTCTAAAATCTATCAGATTTCATCTCCCCCTCAGACCACCTCATGTGTCTCTCTTTTCCTCTTCATCTGTCATTTCATTGCCCTTCTTTCACTCCTTCCTGTTCTCCATGCCATCCCCCCCCCCCCCCCCCCCCAGCATGTTTTTTTCTTCCTTTCTATTTTTTTTTTTTTTTTTTGTCTCCGTCTCACTCACTCTCTGCATATTAATTGGTGCATTTGAGCTGCGGCGTACAAGACAATCAAAGCGTTGGGGGCGGGTGATGATATGACTGTATCAGACACAATACACAATACACAAAAACACACGTTCACTCGCTTACTGACGAGACACCGATACACTCGCATGAGCTGACAGTCGGAGGTGTTCGTGAGTTAATAACAAGTCCCCTCTCCAAAACCATCCTCACTGTACAAACTTCACAAAACACAGCCTCCGATCCAGACGAAAACACCTGCAGGCATCCAATAGCAGAAATGATACTGAATCTCACATACAAAGGTTTTCTTTCTTCTGAGGCCTAAAATAGGCCTAAAACAAAAATAACAGTAGGCTAGACAGTTATTTGTTTGTTTATCGCAGGTCAAAATAATAAACAGACATTGACATTATATATATATAGAGAGAGAGAGATGTATTATTAAAATTATTGTTGTTGTTATTTCTTGTTTAACAGAAAATGCTCCAAATGCATTTGTAACCTATTTATTTATGTAGGCTGTGTATTTATTTATTACAAAGGAAAAATGGGGGTGAATCTGATATAGGCTACAAAGGTTTTAAATGCCTTGAAAATAACAGTAGGTGGTTATTTGTTTGTTTATATCAGGTCAATAGAGGCTACATTGATGTAAATCAGCACTGACACACACATACACACACATATATATATGTATAGGCTATATATATGTGTATGTGTGTGTCTGGGTATTGTATTGTTTTACGTTAACAGTCAGTAGAAGTGGAATAGTAGATGGTGACCCGCGCGCGCGCGCACCTGCGCTGCTCCCACGTGGAGCCCGAGTTTCTCTTCCAGCGCGCGACACAATCACAACTGTCTGCCAAATCAACTACAGAAGCACTTTCTGATGGACAACAATTTTGGGATGAAACGTTCATATTCTTAATACTTTCTAAAATACGTTTGCGCGTAAATCTGAGCACTACAAGCAGACGCGAGAAACTTGAACGTGATTTGTAAGCGCGCGGTGTGTCAGTCTATCCCACAAATCTATAGATCGTTTTAAAATGGTGCCTGCGAGATTATAATTACATTTGCAACCTACAGCCTCCGCCTCTCTCTCATTCACTCACTCACGACTGCACAATAAATGGATCTTTGAGAAGAGAGAGAGGGAGAGAGACGTGTGAGGAAAGAGGGAGGAGGAGAAGATAGAAAGGGCAGAAGGGAGGGGGGTATCGGCGTATGCTTGTATACAACTACCCCCGATTTCCATTTTTTTTCCCTAACTCGTAATGTATTTAATTCAAGTGAAACGTAATCATGACGTGTGTTGTCATTAATCTCCTCGCCGCCTCTCCCGTAAGTACATTCAGCCTTACTTTCATCACAAAATATCTGATTCATTTCAAATAATTGACCTAATCTGCTTTTTTTTGAACGGTTTTACTGATACACATTGGTCGAGGGTATGAATGTGTTTGTTTGTATACAGTTTTAGACGTATAGAGAGCGAATGTTGTCGCCTTCACAAACAACAAATATCCGACGACGACTTTTTTGGGGGGCTGATCCGGGTAATGAAAATCCATTGATACGGAATAGTCGTCGCGTTTACATCTCGGGTTTCTTCCACATATACAATAGGACATAATTGATTGGCGTCTCGTGTGCCTCTGTTAGGACACATCATGTGTGTTCTGGCACATACACACTTCCTCACTTTTGTCTCGTGCCGTGTATGTTGCCGGTGTGTGTGTATGTGAGCGCGCGCGCGCGCGTGTCCTGAAAGAGATGCGAGACCCGAGCATGAAAATGCAACTTTCGTTTTTAAGGCCCTTCAATATTTTCAAAGCCTTTCTCAAGTGAGGGAAAAGTGCCCTAAACTAAGATGCAGGCTATATGTTTAACTTTTCTCATTGAGAAAAGCAGCTCTCCGCTACTGCAAAATGTAGCAACTCCTTAAGTTTTGTAGGCTACTTTATGAGAAGCTTTAGTTTGTTCCTTCTGCTCTAGTTTCCACGTAAAACAGTCGCGTAGGATTCATGACTCTATATATCGGTCGGACTCTCCGAGGGAGAAACTGTTTTTGTAGCCTACATCAATAGTTAGTGCTTTCTAACTTTGAGACATTTTACGTGCATGTTAATACAATAACTCGTTGGAGAATTGCACGCTCTGCATGTCCTAACGTTACCTCACAGATGCGCGCTCGTAATCGCTATTTAAACTGTAGCGCAAAACCTGCAGCTGCAGTCGAAGGTGCTAGTTTTACTAACGGCCCTAAAAACGTAAAGTTTCACATGTCCCTCGATCGTGTTTTGTCACGATAGCGGCGAGATTGTCAGCGGATTTCAAGATGAAACCCCATGATGGCACTTTTCAGCTGCACCCTGATCGCTTGTCCTTTCCCCTCCCTTTATCTTTTGTTGAAAGAAAATCAGGAAGAAAATGGAGTGCACAACATCACGTCCTAAAAAGCTACATTTCTGCCTCAGTTTGGGAAAACGATGCTGTTGCTTCTGTAAATCGCGATTTTATGCTCAGGATTAATCATGCGCGAATGTCAGTGTTCGCGAGAGGACGTGTCGTGTGCGCATTTGTTTGTGAGCATTTATTTATTTCATTAATGTGGCTTTTTAATTGAGATGGCCGCGAGAGAGGAGGAAGGCGACTGAAAATGGATGCGCGTTACTGACGCACATCACGCGAGTACATTCCTCTCCACGGACGGGTCATCTGATGTCCTGCAAATACATCCCTCAAAGAAACTTTCTATATAGCTTAATGAAAAGACGAACATTTCAAAGGCACCATTCTTTCAAATTATTTAATTCTGTCACAGATGTGGGGCACTGGCATAAAGGCTATTATAATCTCTGCCCTGTACGTGCTCGCATGAGGGGTGACGGAATGAGACCAGCCCCCCTGAACTGACGTGACAGTTTGACGGATAAGAGGGCAGAGCAGCACAGAAATGTGGCTGAACTGGGGCGGGTAGAAGTGAAGGGCCCTGTAAACAACTTTTACAACCAGATCTGCTCCAGCTCATCTTGATGACCTGCACAAACCGCAGATCTGGACGAGCTGTTGCAGTGACTTTGATAATTGATAATTAATCAACAGATTTTTGGCTTGGCAAATGGCATCGCAATGCACAAACTTGATATAATTGGTTAAAACATCCATACTTTGAACTTGGGACATGGATTTACTCAAGCTGTCATGTTAAAGAAGAAAAACATCCAGTTGCGGTAAAGAGCTAATTTGACCTGATCTGTCCATTAAAAAGTGCTTTCACTTAACAAAATGTAATTAGGTTGATTTAGTCATATTACAATGTCAGAAAGAAAAAAATATGCACAATTGTACCTTTAGACTGAGGTACATCAGCTTGACACTGGGCCAGTAAGGACAACTTTGTACCTTATCAACCGCTAAAAGGTGCATTTTATATAGAGTAGTAATATACTACAAATTCAGAAGGGCTCATTCCGTCAAATAGACCAGCGTTGTCTGCTCTATTTGAGTTCCTCTCTGTGCTTAAATGCCTGAAGGTAGACTTTATACCTCAGCACACTGCCTTTGTGCACTTGTTGCACACAGCGGACACCTTACAGCTCATTTCATTGGTGGAGGTTAGAGGTTGGCTGTTCATTCTAAAACAGAAGCAAGCTGATTCTGATTGAAAATTATTCATTCTTTAGATCACCCAAGGGATGATTACACCTGAATCAAAGCTTATACTGCTGATGTGTGTACTGACCGATTTACACCTGTTATTATCATCCGTCTCAGGTGATCTGATAGATTGCCATTGATTACGTGACATCATCACATATACATCAGGCTCTTATTTATTGTATACAAAATGCAAACAATCTAAAAGAAGTTGGCACACTGTTACTCCCAAATATAGGCCTAGGCTACATTTTAGATGTAATCTAAAAAAAGTACCAATATGTTGTAGATTTATTTAGCAGACGCATTTCTCCAAACTGAATTATCTGTGTCCTTGCCTATAGATGATGCCAGACATGTTCTTGTCATTCTGGCAATCTAATGCAAATATTTTTGGGTTTTCTAATGTTTTAATCACTGTTGTCCAGGTGCATTAGTGTTTACACTACAAATATAATGTCATACATATATTTTTAACTAGTTCATTAACAACCCAGCAAGCAATAGCCGTCATTTCACCATCTAGGTTAACTATAGACCCAATATAGTCTGGCTATGAGTAACCCACTTCTAGCCAAAATAACCTTGAATTTGGTTACATGTTGTTTTTGCCAAAATAATTTGCAAGATATATGATCATGTAAGCAAAGTAAACTGTAATTACAAGGGGTTTGGTTTCATTTCTTCACTCATTTAATTTATTTGTTATCTAATTGATGACTAGTCTATTCTTGGGCTATGGTTTAGACGTCTATTAAATTTTCACCAAACTTGAACTTGAAATTGAACTTGACCAGTTGAACTGCAGAGTTTGGTGTAGCCTTCAGATTTGAGCGTAGGGAAGAATTAATTGATGATTTGTTTTCTGAAGCACCTTACTGTAAAGTAATTTCAAGTCTTATATCCATGTCTCGTGCTCAGCGAAGGGTATAATGGTCAAAATTGTGATGTTTTTAACTTACTTATCCTCTCTTTAGCATCTTTGAACGGAACCTTCAAGCTCTCTGCAAGTCTTTTAAAGAGAAACACAATATAATGAGACAAGGAGAACAGGTGAAGGTTGTGGATGACTTAGCAGAATGTTGGAAGTTGAAGGGAAAGATCATTTTGTATGCTGAAGTCACTTAAAGAAAAATGACGCTGTGTGGAGTGGCCGCGTCACTGAGAGAGATAAAGTTCAGCCCAAGGTTAGAAACAGGAAATGAATTTCGTCTGTAGGGATTTGTTGAATGACTGCAACAATCCAAAATCATATACACACTGACCTTAGAAACCCCACTCTGAGGCATGAACTGCACTTTACCTTTCTTGTATCTCTAAGTTTGCGCGCGCGCGCACACACACACACACACACACACACACACACACACACACACACACACACACACACACACACACACACACACACACACACACACACACACACACGTTCATCACATGCTGAGCAATCAGTTCTCACTCTTAGTCTCACAATTTCTCTCTCTCTCTCTCTCTGGTCACATATCAAAGAACAGGCTGCGATAAAGCCATTCATGTTATATTTTCAAGGCCACAAGTCTAAAGTCTTTCAGAAGTATGAATGATCTCTTCTTAGCCTTTAGATGCATTACATGGCTACACTGTTGGAGGCCCAGTGTGTCCTCACACTAAAAGCAGGAGACGTTATTTCAGGTGTTCAAGGCTACGGAATACGAACCACAGTGAGAAAAATAGGTTTTTTATCAAAGTGCTTGTTCAGGCATAGAGGTTTTATAAAATGTTTTTCAGAATGTGTTATGTAAACGTGTCATCATTCTTGGAAATGCGACCATATTTGTATTGGTACTTATGTAGCAAACGTTCAGTAAAACCAAGTAGCGATACTTAGATAATGGAAGAATCAGTTGACCTCAATCAAAATCCTGCAGATAAACAAATTGTTGTATTTTTTCGACATCAGTCATTTTTTTTACAGGATGCATTTGCTACTAACTATTTTAATTGCAGCTACATTACATGCAGTTATTTTACATGACTATGGTCTATTTCTCTTCTAATTTGTGTTTATAAGATATTCATTCCATTGCATACAAAGCAGGTAGTTATAAAGCATATATTTGACTACATGTGCCCCAAGAAGGAACAAAATGTGTGTGCATTTGTGTGTGCTTGTACAGGGAGTGTAGCATGTGGCCATTCAGACAAAGGTGTTTAGCATGCATGAATCATCTAGTGACTAGGTGCCATATTGAGTGTGTGTGTGTGTGTGTGTGTGTGTGCATGCATTATTTGCACATGCTGCTTTATCGCTCTCCTGCCTTCTCTCCCCTCCCCCCTCTGTCTAGCACCTTATCACTCTCTCCATCTATCCAAATTTAGAGAAGCTTTATTGGCGTGGCAGGGTTGGTCAGACACGAACGTGTCTGTCAAGGCGGAACAGTGAATTGCCATGACGATATTCATATGATAATAATGCCAGCAGACCAAACAGACCGCAAGATCCTCCATTGCAGAGCAGAACACTCTGTCCCCTTTCTCGACAGATTTACTCATCAAATATGCTCATTCAAAACGTATTTGTGTTCTTCATTTATGTTTTTTCTTCACTAACACCCCCCCCCCCCCCCAATTCTTCTATTTCTTGCCTGTCTGTCTCTCTCCTCTCTTTTCTCTTCGCCATGTTGGCAGGCCCAAATCTACCAGCTGATATCAGCATTCCCTGGCACAGTGCCAACTGGCACCGCTGCAGAGAGACACAGAGAGAGAGAGAATGATAGAAAGAAAGAAAATCAGTGAAGAATAGAGGGAGGAGGGAATGAGGGTAAAGAGAGAAAAAAAGTGCAAGGGGTGGAATCAAAATCTATGGAAGTGAAAAGATAGAAGAAAGGAAAAAGAAGCACAATAATGGTGGGAGAAAGAAAGAAAGAAAGAAAGAAAGAAAGAAAGAAAGAAAGAAAGAAAGAAAGAAAGAAAGAAAGAAAGAAAGAAAGAAAGAAAGAAAGAAAGAAAGAAAGAGGGGGCAGTATGATTGATATAGTGTGATATCCTTGTGAGTCACGGCTGAGCTAAAATGTCAACTGGTTCTGTAAGCCACAGTTTCGTCCAAGTTTTGTGTCACAGATACACACACTTTCACACTCACACACAGACACACATTAATGCACAAACAATCACTTGATTGTGTACATAAATCCAAACTCAGACACAGACATACAGTTCAGTCTGTTAACAGAGGTAAATACTGAAAAAAAAACACCCACACGAACGCAAGCATAGTGATACATATCCAGGCATACAGACGTCCTCGCAGATGTTTAGCAGATTGTCATGCTGTAATCATCAATGAAATTCATTTTCTCTAATTTATGAAAGAAGCAGGTGTTGTTTTAAAAAAAAATTTTTTTATTGTGTCTGGGCCTGTCCACTCCAGACTTTTGCAATGCATGCATGTGTGCCTTTATACGATTGTTCACTTTGGTCAGTGCAGTGTGTGTGTGTGTGTGTGTGTGTGTGTGTGTGTGTGTTTGTTTGTATGAGTAGCATAGGGACTGGAGAGGTTGAATCTATGTGTCTGTATTTTAAGGTGTGTGTATGTATTTTTTGTTTTGATTTAAGCAGCTACTATAAGTGTATGTGCAGGAAGGGTGTGTGGGGAAGTCCAAACATCTCGCGCCCATCCTGTTTGGGACAGGCCATGTCCCGCTCTGCCCTTAGACCCGTACACAGGAACAAATGTGTATCAGCTCATTTTTTATTCTGTGTTGTACTTGACAGGGGACTGTTGGAGGTGGTCAGGCAAATTGCCACCATCGGAAAACGCCCTCTTTAATTCAAGGAAGTGAAGCATGGCATAGACACATTTACAGTAAGTTATCTATCTATCTATCTATCTATCTATCTATCTATCTATCTATCTATCTATCTATCTATCTATCTATCTATCTATCGTCTGTCTGTCTGTCTAATTGCTATTGTCCATCCTTTCTCACTCAGAGTATGGATTCCCCACCAGAGTGTATGCTGGCACTTTCCTGTGAGCCTCCACTGTCTCCACCCTCCATGCCATCCCTGGACCACAGTCCCCAATTCCTACCCCAGAGTCCTCTATCTACACCTTCTAGCCCTCAAACTGAACTCTATGTCCCGGTCTCACCCTGCCCCCTTCCTGAAGCCTGCTTCCAAGATGAGGAGGAGGATGAGGAGTTATCAACGCCCCCATCACCCACCCCAGCTGTGGCACTGTTTCCTGGTGAATTGGAACTCGGCAGTCCCTCATTAGAGAGCAGCCTACCAGCCACACCATTAGCACCTTTCCCTGGTTTTGGAGCTCTGGAGCAGGCAATCTCCTCTGGTCAAAGTACCACCTACAATGATGAGTTGGATCTTCAGCTTTTCAACAATGAGGGCATGGCTGTTCCTGGAGGGACCAGCTCTGGGCCTGGCCTGAGGTTCCCCTGCCATGTGTGTGGAAAGAGGTTCCGCTTCCAGAGTATTTTGTCTCTGCATGCTCGAGCACACAGTTTGGACAGGGAGCGTCGGGCTTCAGCTCCCTACCAAACCACACATGTCAAACTGCAGCAGAATCACGTAAGCGACAGTGTAATCCAGAATTCATTATCTGGGTCATCACAAAAAAGTATGAATGAAGACATGGTTCCAGAGGAACCTCTTCAAACTGCTAGCAGCCCTCAGTTCCTCTTTGAAGGAACCTCAGCCCTGACTCCACCTTTAACAGAGGAAGCACCCATCTCAACCTCCTTCTCTCCACTTGGCCAGGCCCACTTGGATGACAATGCCCCCTCCACAGCTGCTCCTGCCTTCCGGTGTCACGCTTGTAAGGGTAAGTTCCGAACAGCTTCAGAGCTGGCACGTCATGTGCGGATCCTCCACAACCCCTACAAATGTACAATGTGTCCCTTCTCAGCCAGCCAGGAGGAAAGACTGGCTGCCCATCTGCAGGAGACCCACCCACCTGAAGATCCTCCCACTGAAACGGTTTTCCCTTCTCACCCTATAACAGCACCAATAGAAACTCCTCCCCCACAAATGTCTGTTGTTCCAGCTTTCCGATGTGAGACATGCGGACAGCGTTTTACTCAGTCCTGGTTTTTGAAGGGGCACATGCGGAAGCACAAGGACTCATTGGATCATAAGTGCCAGGTCTGTGGCCGTGGCTTTAAGGAACCCTGGTTTCTCAAGAACCATATGAAGGTGCATCTTAACAAGCTAGGCCTCAAGGCTGGATTGAGCAATCTGGGTCAAGCTGGAACTGATCAATCCAAAGGTCCTGCAAGCACACAAGTGCTGGGGGCTCTGTATTCTAACTTGCTCCTTGCTCGAAGTATGGCCAGTGGTGGTGCTTCAGGAAATCGCACAGAGAGGTCAGATGCCAGTGCAGGCTCAAGCAAATCCTCTATATTGGGCTATCTGGGATTACCCAAAGACAACAGCAATGGAAGTTGCATGGAGCGCCTTCAGGCAGTGGCACAGGTTGCAGAAATGGGTAACGGAGGAGGAGGGCGGGGAAGTGAGTCAGCAGACGGAACAGACCAGGCAGCCATGTGGCAGCTGGTTGCTCGCAGTCTGGTGGCAGCGCAGCACAACCAACAGCAACAGCAGCAGAGATCCCATTCACACCATCAGTTTCCTTCCTCACGAGGCACGGTCGCTGGGGAAGCCAAGCAGATGAGGGCCTACCTGGGTGGGTTGGGTTCTAGAGAGGAACTGGAGGGATCTAGTTCACCGTGGGAGTGTCCAGATTGCGGCAAGATGTTCAGAAGCCTTCAGCAGGTGGTTGCTCACGCCCGTGTCCATGTCCAGAAACCACAGAAAGGCCAAAGTGCCCGAGGGGGCATGTCCAGGGAAGAGGACATTATAAACAGAGTCAGTGGAGCTCAAGCAACAGGCGGAGTAGAAGGAGGGCAAAGAACAAGTGACAATGAAGTTAGGCAGGAGAGAAAGCAACTCCCATCAGGAGTCGTGTCAGCTGGGAGCTTCCATTCTGTCATATCACATCTCTCTGGTAAGGATCAGCCAGCATAATCAAAAACAGCTGTCTTTATCATGACAATATTTCATTTTCAGAAACAGTTTAGACTCAGTTTATATTTCGAAACAGTTTTAATTTATTCATTATACATTATCTTATCTCAAGGTCAGAACGGTGTGAGGGAATCATCCTCTTCCACTTCATCTCCAAGGGAGCGTGTTCGGGGAACAGGGATGAAGGATTGTCCCTACTGTGGTAAAGCCTTCCGGTCTTCCCATCACCTTAAAGTGCACCTTCGTGTACACACAGGTAAGGCCATCATGTTTACTAGATATGTGACTCCTAGGGGAATACCCCAGGGGGTTACTTAAACGTGTTCCAGGGGGCTTTGACTTTTGTTAAACCTATAAAACAAAAATTATGACTTAAAATATTAGATTAAATATGAATCTACAGTAATATTATTTATATAGTGGTCCTACTATATATCAATGATAATCAAAAGCTACATAATCTTGGTTTTTAGATTGGTACATTGTAAGGATGACACTTGGAGCTTGTAACACTTGACATTTGTAACTTCCCTGATTTAGTTTAATTGAAACTATTTGCTGTCTATCGGGTTCCTCACTAAATGTAATTACCAAAAAAAAAAAAAAAAAGAAAGAATGAAATATTAAAAAGAAGAAAAATGCAGTGTTCACATGGTTGATGAGAGATGAAATGTCCTAATTTAACTAATGCACTGGGGAATTCACCTGATGTTACATATGATGAGAAGCACTGCCATCTATCTGTTACTGTGTGTAACTGCATATAGTTGTTTCACACAGGCAATTTATTACCTAACTGCTATGGCCTCCCTAATCAAGCATTGTTTTTCTTAGCAAAATTTCTGTTCTTAAAACAACATTTTAGTTTTCAGTCTACTTAACAAGAGTAATTTATTCCTTGTTTTAGGTGAGAGACCATACAAATGCCCCCACTGTGATTATGCTGGCACCCAGTCTGGCTCTCTCAAATACCACCTTCAACGTCATCACCGTGAGCAAAGGAACGCTATGGCAACCTCCCCAACCTCCCCATCACCTAGCCTTCCCTCTCTGACTGGATCTCCCCGTGAAGGGGCAAAAAAGCGCAGACTACCCTCCACATCCCAGTCGTCTTTTGGGAGGGAGCCTTCTTTAAGGCACAGTCAGTCATGGGGTGAAGGCCCATCAGAGCAGAAGGAGGGCTCTTCTGCATCCATTTATCAAAGAGAGGGAGACCTGGAGAGTCACTATCGCAGTCTGTCAGGGATGATGGGTACACTCTTCCCCGGTGGTCTAGAAACAAATTGGATTGGGGAGGTACCACCTCCGAAAATGCCAAAAGTGTCTCGACGGAAACCCCTTACTACAAGCCGCATGATGTCAGTAAATGGCTATCAGGGCGGCACAACGTCCCAGGAAGGAGGCTTCGAACCACTGGACCTCTCCCGTCGCCCTTTACAAGATGAAGTGGGAGTGAGTAGTTCTGGAGGTGAACCATCAGGTGGCTCTAAAGGAGGGAATGATATCCTTAATCAATGTGTGTTCTGTCCCTTCCGAACCTCTTCTGTTGAGCTGATGGCCATGCACCTTCAGGTTAATCACACCAGCAAGTCTCGTCGCAAGAGAGGCGTCCCTTTCAGTTCCACCAATCATTCTCCAGGACTAACTTTGGCCGGGCCAGACCGTGATCCCCTGGCTCTGTGGAAGTTCCTTGGTGTAGAGGATGGACTAGCATCTCCTGAGGACTGGGTCTCATCCAAGTCAAGAGCTGAGAATGGAGTCAGCCCAGATAACAAGGAAACAGAGGACAGCTTTGAACTTGCCCCTGGACCTGCGGGAAGATTTGGTGCCACAGAGAAGAAACGTAAAATGAGAGAGGACCTAGAAGAGGCAGATGAGGAGATTGACGAGGAGGAGAATGAGCTGGAAGCAAATGGCAGAAGGGCTCAGTCTGTTTCATCAGACCTCACGGCTGAGTATCTACCCAAGGAGGAGGAAAGTGTCTTGGGGAAATAACATCTAAAGAGAGCCCTGGAGAAAAGATAGGGGCAGGGGAGAAATATTTGGGAAATAGTTGTCCAGGGTCCCTCGTATCCTTCAAACCAAGGGCAGACCAGTCACTATGCTAACATACTGGACATTATGTAATATGTTAACAGAAAACCCACAAAAGTAATTAAATCAACCATTCCCCTTATTATACCCTCTTGGTTAGTGATCAATTACCTCTACACACACAAAGACTCTCAATCACACAGAGATATCCAGTATTGTATGCTAGTCTAAGCCTGCCTGACTCGGGGCCTTCTTGAACACTGTTCTCTTGTTCCTGTCTTCTTGTCAGTGAACGCAATTGCCAAGTTGCATTTCATTTACAATTTCCTTGCTCCTGTGAATCTTGCTCTCATCTCAACAAGGACTTGGAATGTCAATCTGTGGAGCTGAAAAAGCAAAAAAAAAAAAAGAAACACTTCTTAATCACTACAATATACAGTATTAATGCTGAGAGAGATGCTAACCGAATACTGAACGGACATGCTACTTCCACATGAACTTAATCTGACAGCACGTCTTCAGTAAATCAAAGGAGTGAGCACACTTCTTACCATGCACCTGCCAGACTCTGAACAGAATGCTGTGATAACTGAATGGTACTTGTGAATCACCTCTAACAGAACAGGACAGAGTAAAGATTATATTACCAGATATCCACACTGCCAGTCTGCTCCGACGGGTATTCTTCAGATATTATATGAAACAGAGATTCTGCCTCTTCTATATGCTATTTCTCTCAGTGCCTGTTGATGTAAAAGGTTTTTAGCAGATTCAGCAACACAGGAATATAGTTACATTGAATATATACAGTATATATGCGTAGTTGTGCTAGAGCATAGAGTTCTGTGACAATATGGTGGCAGTTTGTGTGACTATGTCTGCTGTGAATGAAACCATGAATGAACCCAGAGCACCACATGTGGGAACAGCTGGCCGTTTGACAAGGGCCCTATGGAAGTGTTTACATTACAGATACCACCAGGATATCTGGATTAAATCCAGACCACCGTTACTATGGAAAGTTCAAATTTCAGGGTTTGAAATGGATATCAATCTAGTAAATGGAGACTCAGCAATATATCCTTCATATTCCTGTAATGTCTCTGATTCAAACCATCCAGCAAAGGGTGGAAAGTGGGTCTCTACTAAAACATTCAGTATGCCGTTTTTTTTAGCCGTGAGTAGACTTTTTTTTTTTTTTAATATCAAAAATGAAAAGAAAAAAAACAAACACTAACAAATTCAGACATCCCAGTAGAACATATGTAGCTTTTGTAAACATAAGAGATCAAAAAGAGGAAAAAAATATGTTGTTTTCTTTTTAAGAAGTGTTAATGGAAAAGGATATGGAGAATAGTAATAAGTATTATAATAATTATGAAATAAGACTGCTTCAGAATGTCTTTAGAGCACTGTGCAAAGATTTCCCCCCCAAACTCGCTTTAGTTTTGCTTTTAAATGCAGATCAAACTTTTGTTCTTTTACCCCAAACCATTTTTTTCCCATAATGCTGCAGATTTAATTCATATCCCCTTAAACAATGTGTTTATATATTCACCAATCAACAAATCAATCGTTCGGAAACACAATCATTGTAAAAGCTTGCCTGATGATCTTGAAACTTCAGCAATTGAAAATATATTTATAAGTTGATGGTGAGATCATGTCCAAGACATGTCCCACTATCAGCATTGTCAGTGTGACTGATCTGCTTGCCAAATTTGATTTCATGTAATTGTGTTGCATGTTTGATGTGGAATTAGCACATCATACAAACGATGCTCTACTTTCCTCATCCAACTCTGTAAAATCAGGTCATCTCTCATTGTTATCATTAGACACTAAGTAGGAGGTACTTTTGTCCAGTGATTGACAGAGGCTGGCCTTAAAACGTCATTATTGTGTCCTTGTTTTGTGTGTAGAGTATCTTATGCGTTCGGTAGCCCCTGATGTGGTTTTCCTTTGAGATAACAGTCAAGCCACTGTGCCTTCTGTCCTGAGCACTTCCTCAAGTATTTTGTAAGCTCACCAAAAGCACTTAGCCCCTACTGTTTCACTTTGTATTCTTTGGTAAACTGTGTTCTGTTCTTCTACATATCTGATCCTCTGTTTTGTTGAGATGTCAGATGTGGGGGTCATTTCCATTTCAATGAGTGCCATTCTGTCATTCATGCGTGCTGTTGCATCTCCTGCTTTCCTCCTTTCCCATTAGCGTATGCACCACTGAAAGCTTACGTACTATCTAGCTCCGAGGCCTTTCAAGAAGTTACTTAAATTTCTATGGTGCATGTTACTTTGATGCCGATGAGAAGAAATCAAGCTCTTCATAATTATTATTATTATCATTGTTCTTTTTTGTTTTATGGAAGAAAAAACTAAGGAAACAAACAAAAAACATGAACAAAATGTGTCTCTTGAATGTTGTACAGATAAAAATAGAGATGTTGTGTTTCTAACAAGAGATCAAACCGTCAAACCTGCTCTCCATCGCCCCCTGCGCAGCCAGCGATGTTGTGGCTCTTTTAGGATGGCCTAACTGTGTATAGGGATCAGGGCAATAGTTTTGTTTTGTGTGTTTATGTGTGTGTGACCATGTGCATTAATGTCTTAAAAAATAATATTTTGTGAGATATACTGACACTGTGAAATAAGCATAAAAGTATTCCCAAACAGTGATGTGCTGCTCAAAAATTCACGAAGTTCAACATGCACTTTTGTTTGTTGTTCCACCAGAAGTGTGTGAATTCATAAATATCATCCAGTGAAATAGGAGAGGTGGAGAGAAGGTCTGGGTTTGATCCTTTTTTTAGTAGCCGACTGCTGTTGGTGGCAGAGGAAGCTGATCTAACATAGTAGTGACTAATATGAAATTGTGGATTGAGAAAAAAAAACAGTAGAGAAGAATCAATAAAATACAAAAAAAAAAAAAACATGTTTTGCTTGCCGTATTATGTTTCCCATTACAATTCCTGCTATTTTTCCAAAATTATCCTTTTATACAAAGCACGTACTTGGGGATAAACTGTCACCACATTGATATAAAAATAAAATTAAACCCTCATACCTTAGCTTTACATGCAGAGTCACATTAAGGTTGACTTTGTGAGTAGAATAATTTACCGCACAAATTGCACCCTTCACCATTGACTTTGTTTAAAATTATTTAGGTACTTGGGTAGAAATAATAGTACAATATTATTTGTGAACACCTGCACTGCAGTGAAATAATATGCTTTAACTTTTATGTTCACATGACCATATTCAACCTAAACAACCCATATGGATAGATGCAGAGCACAAGAGGCCATGCATGTTTTAGTTTCACCATGATAAACCTGCAGCAGATAATGAATCACTGAATTGAAAATGTCAATATACAGATTACACTTTTAAAGGGACAACTTTGTACCTTATCTATCCCTAAAATGGGCATATTAGTAATATGTATAAGGTACTACAATGAACTTTGTTAGAGTAAATAAGGTACAAAGATGTAAGGATACTGTTGCACCCCTAAAAGTACATTATTTGTACTGAATCAAATTCTGAACAGTGTACTGAATTCAATTCTCATTGACTGTATACATTACCTGTTTGAATTAAATCCAAAGTAAGTGGAAGAATGCAATCTGATGGTATTTTTAAGTCCTGTAATGATTGAGAGGACCAAAAAAGGGTGGGGAGATGGAGGGAGGGGTGAATCGTCTGGCCAAGGAGGGCACCTCAGCTGAGAGCAGTGGCTCCAGGCACAGGGCCACCCCCTGTACACATCCCTCATCATTGGCATCAGAGCCAGAACAAATACATATTGCTCTTCCAATGTTTTTATCATTCAGATGGCATACGCACAACTGCCAAAGATAGTCACAGTGCTTAGCAGTCTGACAAGGTGTTTATGGTTTAACAAGATCTTCTGCATAGTTAATTGGCTAACAGAAGTGTTACTCCCATAACGTACTCTACACAAACACAGATTCCATCCTCGCAGCTCGGACTACCTCGGATAAAGTACCTTAAATTAGACCATTTTTCTCCATGCTCTCCTCTAAGGACCTGCAGAAATGATGGAAATACTGATAAAAATCCTCTTTGGTAAGTTTACCAAACTCTTGGAGATGGTCCTCACTGGAGAACACGAAATCCAGGGGGAGGAGTTGGATCCAGATCCAACTCCTCCCACCTTACATATACCTAAACCTACCCATCTCCGCCCCCTGGATCTCGTGTACTGCAATGAGGTGTTACTGAACTCTTGAGGTGTATGTCATTCAAAGACTTGTGACTTGACAACAAAACCGCACTATATGCTGTACTGATACTAGCCGTTCAAGTACAGTACAAAATGAATGAATGAATGAGGCATTTATATAGCGCTTTCATATGTACACCCAAAGTGCTTTACAATCATATCAGGGGTTCTCTCCTCAACCACCACCAGTGTGCAGCATCCACTTGGATGATGCGACGGCAGCCACAGTACAACGGCGCCAGTGCGCTCACCACACACCAGCTACAGGTGGAGAGGAGAGAGAGTGATAGAGGCAATTCAGTGGATGGGGATAATTAGGAGGCCATGATTGGCAAGGGCCAATGGGTGGAATGTGGCCAGGACACCGGGGTTACACCCCTACTCTTTACGAGAAGTGCCATGGGATTTTTAATGACCACAGAGAGTCAAGACCTCTGTTTAACGTCTCATCCGAAAGACGGTGCTCTTTGACAGTATAGTGTCCCCGTCACAGACCACAGGGTGAGCACCCCCTGCTGGCTTCACTAACACCTCTTCCAGCAGCAACCTGGTTTTCTCAGGAGGTCTCCCATCCAGGTACTGACCAGGTCAGTGGGCAACCAGTCTTGGGCTACAGGGTGATATGGCTGCTGGCAAAATAATGCTGTTGTCATCTCAAACACATTAATTGTGCAAGAAAATAAAATTACATTGACAATTTTGCATTTGGAACGGTTTCTCTTTTAGGGTTAATCTTTGCCTTCCATTTTGGCATGGGATCAAGATGTTCTATCAGGCTATTGTCTACTGTTCTACTGGCTGAAGCAATAGGACAGAATTTATTATCTGCACTGGTCTCTTTTGAGCTGCTACACACAACAGTTTTTAGTATTAACAGTGGCTGTTGGAATGAAGTTGGAGAGACTTCCTGGATTTCTGGTAACCATCTTTAACACTGATACCTGCTCAACCTCTCACCATTATAGGAGCAGTAATACTGAGCAAGGAGTGTTTCACATTACGAGAAAGTGAAAATGAAAGATTGAGTCTAACTTGGTGGGGTTTGGTAATCGCCCTCTCATCAGAACTGAAAACACCAAACCAGTAATGTGTCATGGTTTCACCCAGATGATTATGAAAGAGTTCAAACAGGTTCAAATAAAGAACATAATTTATTAATAAAACAAATTCAAGTAATCCACAAGTAGAAAGGCTTCGTAACAGCATGTGTCACAAACACATTAACAATACCAGACCACAAACTAAATGAAATGAGGGACTTAAATACACACGGTGAATTAACTCAATGACGAACCGGTGATAACTTATTAATCAAAAACCGTTATAACAAACGAAGAGCAGGGAACTGGAACAAAGGAAAACAAGGGCTGTACCTTGATGGTATCTAAACAAACTCAGGGTATTGGATTAGTTTCGAGTTGACAAAACCAAACTAATCCAATCAGGCTTTGTTGGTACCATGACGCTGATCAACAACTTTCTCTGTCAACTCAGTCTTTGATCCTGAGTTTAGGAGTTTAGGTGTGACATCAGTAGTAAATTGCCAATCACATGCTGTGGAACAGTGAAACTGCAATTCACTTCTCGCAAGAGAAGCAGTGCGATTCACTTCTCTCTTCTGCAGAATATTACTAGATTGAAAAATATTAAGAATTTAAACAAATTTACACAGCAAGAAGAAAGGATCTGTCTTTGAAAAAGGACAACTAAAATAAAAAGTATTGCTACTGTATATCAGTGGAAGTAAAAGTTAGTTTATACAGTTGATATAGGTATAGAGAGAACTGAACATTTAAGCTCACATGCAGTCATTTATATAACTTTATCTATTGATTCTAAAGCTTATTTATATTACCTTTGTATATGAATATTTATTTAATCTAAGTGCTTAACAATAATCGATTGTTAAACTAAAATTGTACATGTGTAATGGATTAAGGGTAGGCTATAATAATGAAATAAATAATATCTAAATCATACAAAATTATTGTTATAAATAAGCATTGCTAAAATCCAGACGATTTTGTCTTTAAAAATCATTTGCTATGTTGTGACCTTTAATTTGTAGTAGAAACATGGAGAGGGACTTTTTTGTCTCAGACATTGTCACTTTGCACAGCTGATTGGTCCAATTTCGGTTTGCAATCTCATACCTGCAACATAACCTGCCCTGGAGCAGGTTAGCCGTGGTGGAGCGTAAACTATGGCGATTAACACTCTGCTAAACGCCAAACCACTTTCATGTTGGCTAAAACCCAGAGTTGGCCCAAACTAAACTGAAACATACCTGGCTAGCCACCTAAACCATGGTATAGGCCCCAGGTAACTGAAAGAAACAAACTAAAAGTCCATGAAAACGTATATGTGCAAAATGTTTTATATCTTAGGCGTGTTTGTGCTATTGCTGCTGTATTACCACTGATCACTTCTGCCAGACCACAATTTCTTCTCTACAGTTTCTTCTCACACAATAAGTCACAATATCTGGCTTGAATGAAAGCAATATCGGAAGCTGTGTCTGTCTTTTGGGGCAATGCTCATATTCAGTAACCTTACTGCTTTTGTGGTGATTGCGTGCGTTAGTGATAACGTTTCAATATCTGCTTTAAGGAGATTTTCTCGTTGCAGTTCTTGTTTTAGCTCCGTCTCTAGCAGCTGCAGTAACAGTAGTTTGCCGGCAGGGGGCAGTTGGACCAGCGGCATTTATTTTACCTGCTGCCTTAATTTACCATGTGGAATTTAGCAAAACACATTTAAATTTCACTTGTGTCATTACAGTATTTTCTGCTTTTGGGTCTGTCTTTTTATTGCATAATCAAACTTCTGGTCAGTAGAACTGACCAGGCAACCAATGAGATAATGTACAAATTATTGTATTGGAAATGCTATCCTTCACGTGGAAAGCACTCTCACTATCATATTTGGTAGTTTTATTGAGAGCTCATATTGGTATAGCAGTTTAATTGAGAGCACATAACCCCGGGATAGAGGCTAAAGGGGTGCTGATATTTGCCTGGACAGGTACAGGAGCAGCTCTGACAATAGTGTTGGCTGTACCAATGGTCCATGGAAAAGCCATGATGCTCAAAAATACTTGCAGCGTCCTCTAGGCTTGTGCATTCTTTAAAAAATCACCATGCACCTGTCATGAACTTCAATTTATTATTATTATTTATTTTGACTTAATTTTATTATTTAACTAACTTATTAACTAAAAAAATTCTCAGAGGGTAACGAACTTCACATAATAGGTCAAAGAGGTTTTAGCTGACAAAAAAGTTGGGAAATCCCTGCATTGATTGTAAATATGAAATGATGTGAAATCATTTTTGCTAAGACACATTTCTACAGACATTTTCTCACAACATTAAACACAACACCAAATCTTCAAACTACATTCACAAAACCACTGAGTCTTCTGGCAAAACCAAACAATCGCTTCAAAACCATTTAATCTGTTCTCAAAATCAAACAAAGCTTCAGATCATACACATATCAGTCATCATATACAGAGCATTCATTAGACACTACGTGTACATCAAAAAACGGAGAACACAGCATCCAGAACATGAGGTTACAGAAGAAAATGTACAGTAAGCAAATTTCACAGTTACGTAAAAAAGTAGCAATCATAACTTGGCAAGGGTCAGTTTATTGTATACTGCATGCATTGCAGGTATA